CCTAGAAACTCAAATACCCCTCCCATTCCCCAACCCCCCCCCCAAAAAAAAAAACTATTGAGGTGTTATTTCAATTTAGGGAGCCCTGGAAAGTACTGAACTAGAGAGCAGTAAAGTGCATCTGCAAGAGCCCACTGGACAAGAGCAAAATTTGTTTTCGAGACTGTGATTTTAATCTTTTAATCTTCTATGTTTTATCTATTTCAAATGTTATCTCATTCCAGACTATTGTTTCCATATTCAAATAAAAGCAAGCTTTAGAAATTGGAAGACGTTATGGTCTTTTGATGTCTTTGTTTCAAGAAAAAGGACAATTTTACCTCACGTTTTTAAGCAATGCTAGGCCCTGCTATACACATGCATTTAAGAGACAGGTTATTCCCGAGCCAACTAGTACACCTCCAGTATTATAGACAGCATTTGTGTAACTGAGAGTTTAGTTGTCAGCAGAGAGGGAGGATTTTTGTTGTTAGGGAGGGATAGTCACCGGGCAGACAGTCATAAACAGTGTCTAAACACTAAGACCAGGCAATAACCGGGCTTAAAACCAATGCAAACCAGACCCTGGAGCCAGAGAAGTTAAGCACTGTACCAAGCTAAGAGTAGAGAAACGAAAACATGGACAGAAGAAATCTGGAGTAAACGGTTCAGAGGGGAAAGAGCAGGAAACTGTGTAGGCCTTCTAAGTCTGAGTCCAGCACAAGGTGCAGCCAGACTGGGAGTGAGGCTGAGGAAGATTTAAACTAAGCAGACAGGACCGAAGTACACAAACACCACTACACTCAAGTAACACACCAAGAAGGCGAGGCAAACTGGCGAGATGCCTACCTGAGACGCAGCAAACCACCAGTCAGCTTCAGAAATCCATCCTCCGTGATCAGTGTCTGGACTGTTAGTCACATAAACTACTTATTTCTGACAGATACCAGTTACAGAGCTTGCCTGCCCAGGTCATACCTGACAGGGGCTTGTAATTAGAAAGAAATATATAAAAAGAAACAATTTATGTATCCTGAAAGCCATACAACTATCACACAAAAGAAAGGGATCAAGGAATTTTTGCACTTTCCTAAGGAACTGACAGTGAGATTGGAAGAAATATATTAAAGTTAACCTATAAGAACTGCCCTGCTGCCAACACACTCAGCCAGCAAAGACATTTCTAGTTTAAAATTTTGTAAATAAACATGTACATGAATAGTTCATCCGAGTAGCCCACCTGAGTTAAATAGACATCACAAAGAATTAAAATAATATACATGCCAAAGCATTCCCACACATATGCTCCTCAGTTCAGTACTCGTCTGAGCAACTTTAAATGTTATAGTGGCATATAAAAGGGCATTACTTTAACTCATTGCTTTTTCAGTTATTTTCTTGCTATCTGATATCAGGCAATTATCACCTATAACTTTACACACGTGGATAATGGTACTCCACTCAATAAGGCTACTCATGCAGTTTAAATTAAAGATACTTGCAGCTATGTGCTGGATAGGGGTCTTAATATTTAGTAAGGTTTCCTGATGAAACAGGGCTTATGAGATCATATTGTATGTATTCATGCAGGCATATGTCAGTCAGTTCATCCTCTTCTAATAGCTTTTGAACCTGTTGGCCTGCTTCAAGCACATTTGTCAGAGGAGTTAGCTTATAGATATTAAGTTCCCAGACTTTAAATGAAAATAGGCAGTTAAGCAGAGGAAAGAGAGATTATTAGTCATCTATAACTTTGTCCCCCTCTTCCTCCTCTGCCATCGATGGAAAGGCTGTATCATGAACTCTTTGCTTAACTCCAGAGAATTCACATTAGAAAGTCACTGTGAATGCCCCATCACAGAAAAAGCCTCAGAATTTGTACTTTATAGACGCTAGAGAATCCAAGTAGACAATGCCAACCAACAAGATTTCAGTAGTCTCCATGCTCATAAGTCTCTGCTCTACATTAAAGAACCATTACTTGCAAACAGCAAAGTCTTATTTCAAAAAAAGAAACACAAAAAGCTCCACTGTTAGATTTCTGTTTGTAAAAATACCATCCTTGCACTTGCCCTAAATAAAATCTGAGTAACTAAAAAAAAAAAAAAATCTGATGAAATAGCATAGTAACTTCCCTGATTTTTTTGGATGATCAGCTAACACTTCCGATTTAGTTACTGTTTGTATGCATGGGAACATTTCGTATATTTCTTTCCCAGTGTTGACATCATGGAAATCTCACAAAGTTTGACAGTTTTCTCATAGAAAGCAGTGTTCCTAAGGGACCTTTCACTGGACCCTATAGAGTTTGACAGATATTCATAAATGGGACCTGTTTTCTTTGTTTTGTGTAAAATCTCTTCTTGACAATATAATCATTCAGCTAACAGCAAAAGGATGGAAAATATCTTAAACCAACTTTGTGGTCCTCTTTTTTTTTATAGTGGGGTTATTATAATGTCATTTTAAAAAGAATAAGAATTAATCTGAGAGCATTCCTTATGGCCAAACACATCAAAACCAGTAGCTCAGACATACACATTTTTGAAGTGTTACTTTTAGTAGAATTTTTACAAATAGGTCTAAGAGACTGCTTTTTCTCCTTTCTTCAAATTCTTCATGCACTGGGAATATTCCAGCGTTAAGCCAAAAAATACCTGATACAAACAAGGGAACTTCTTGTTTGGCATTTTAGACATGTTTAAAGAACAACCATTGGCTATAAGATAGCTGAATATTTTTAGAGTGCATTTTTTATAAAACCTTGTGGCTCAGGTAATATGTTATCTCCCAAGGAATAATCAAGAAACTAAACACAGTTTTAATTATTTTTAATTTGCTTTATAGCAGATAGCATTGTCCTCAAGCAAAACTGAAGCTCCATTGTAAACCGACACTCTTTTTGTAAACTGGCACTGGTGAAAACAGTACAAGATCTGTCTTGCTGACTGTGCTCATGTAAAGTGTTCAGTTATAAAAGGAATGAATGGTATGTAAGCAGCATAATGAATGCAGAGTGTAACCTTTTAAAAATATCTGTTGTAGTTCAGTTGTCCTTGTTTAGGTGTAGAATTAGCAATATTCACTTAAGATTAAAAGATATGACATATTACTCTTTCTAGATGAGCTCTTGATTTCAGAAAAGAGGCTAAAACTAACAGTTAAAGCTCTCAGCTTATCAAATTTCAAGGAAAAAGACTTTTCAGATACAACATTTCTAATTCTCTAACTCTTTGAACTTTACTAGTTATTTTCACTTGTATAAATCTGGCATAAAATCGCTGCCATCTGGCAAGCGTATACACCCATTTTGCTTTCTTTTCAAGCAAGGGTAGTTATGTGTGAAGATTCTGGTTTGTCTCCCCTGATTTATTTCTAATGAAGTATAATTGTGGAAGTTTAAGCTTAACTGACATCATCCCAGCAGCCTCATTACCAAGCCTCTGAAAGTCTGCAGTTTGTGTGTTTGTTTAGGTCATGTTTCTAGTGCTTCAGGAAATAGGTTTTTCTTTGGCCTCACAAGAGCTAGATTTAATTCATTAACGTCCTTTTTCCTCCTTCCCAGTTTTCACTGGCAGTTGTTAAATCATTTCCTGAAAAACCTTTCTTCGATATGGTCGCATTTCTAAACTTGCTGCTTTGCTCTTTCACCCCCCAAAATAGGAATGCTGTGATTTGGACAGCATCAGTATTGTTATAATTAAAACAATTTCCCTGCAATTATCTGAGAATTTTAGAGGCCTTTAGTGAGAGAGGCATCCCTTTCTCAACCCAAAAGATCTTTCTTTTGTACAGGGATGGCTAGGGGAACTGGCACGGGACCATTCAATCAAATCGCACTAGTACTTCAGCTAGCTTTCATTTCCGATGCAACAGTGCTGAAATATTGTGAAATGTCTGTGAAATCCTGAAAAAAAAAAATCTGTTTTACGAGATATTTGGCCATTCTGGGCCAAAATACCACAGGAGGAGGCTGTCATGCGTTCCAACAGTATTTAAGCCAATTGCTCAAAATTTCCCCTCTGCCCTGAAGAAAACAAACAAACAAAAAAATCCCAGAACAACAGCCGCAACTTGGGTTTTGAACCGGACTTCAGGCTCCGTTGGGGGTGCGGGGGGTGCCTCTCTGGGGATGCTCCTTTCGGGCTGAGACTGACAGCCCGAACCGCACAGGTGGGTTCAGCTCAGCAGAACGAACTCCAGCCTCTTTCCCGACGGCATTTGGAAG